GAAGACTCATTAACAACCTGTGATATGCAGATGATACAACCTTGCTTGCTGAAAGTGAAAAGGACTTAAAATACTTACTGATGAAGATCAAAGAGTACAGCCTTCAGTATGGATTGCATCTCAATGTAAAGAAAACAAAAATCCTTACCACTGGACCAATAAACAATATTCTTATCAACAGAGAAAAGACTGAAGTTGTCAGACTTCATTCTTCTTGGATCAACTATCAACACTCATGGAAACAGCAGTCAAGAAATCAAACGACATACTGCATTAGGCAAATCTGCTAAACAAGACCTCTTGAAAAGTGTTGAATAGCAAAGATGTAAGCTTGAGGACTAAGGTGCGCCTGACCCAAGCCATGGTATTTTCAATAACCTCGTCTGCATGCAAAAGCTGGACAGTGAATAAGGAAGACCGTAAAAGAACAGATGCTTTTGAGTTATGGTGTTGGAGGAGAATATTGAAAGTGTCATGGGCTGCCAAAAGAACCAATAGATCTGTGTTGGAAGAAGTGCAGCCAGAGTGCTCCTTGGAGGTCAGGATGGCCAAACTTCATTTCTCATACTTCGGACATATTGTCAGGAGGGACCAGTCAATGGAGAAGGTTATCATGTTTGGTAAGGTGGAGGGTTAAAGAAAAAGGGAAGACACCGCCCCCCCCCCCCCGCCAGAGAGATGGATTGGCAAAGTGGCAGCATCAATGGGCTCAAGAGTGGCAACAATTGTGGGGTTGGCCCAGGATCGGGCAGTGTTTCGTTCTGTTATGTGTAGGGTCACTATGATTTGGTGCCGACTTGATGGCACCTAACAACAACAACAACCATGTGTCCAGCTACCTGCTGACCAGTCTAAAAGGGCTCACAATAGATAGTTTTGGATAAAGTGGGGGGAAATGTAGAACAAAACTCAAAAATCATTTTTAAAAAACTATATAGTCCAGACTTGCTATATAGAGACTGGTAGATCCTCTGGAGATTATGGCCCTTAAACACTCTTCAGGACTAGAAGTGAACTCATCCCTTTGATTTGACTTTCAGCCAAATGATATGCCTAAAGGTGAGTGATAACGCCACTCCTTAGAACACTCAGCCATCTGAGATCAAAAGGGCAGCACTTGCCCAGGGTGTGGCGCTGTGGATTAATGCGCTAGACTGCAGAGTAGGCTTCAACTGCAAGGTCGGGGGTTCAAGCTCACTAGCCACTCCTTGGAAACCCTATACAGGTTGAGTCTATACAGTCCTTGGAAACCCTATACAGGTTGAGGCAGAACTGACTCAACAGCACTTAACAACAACATCAAGCTTAGAAGGCAAGAAGGGATAGGAAAGGAAAATGAATGGAAATGGTAAACATAAGTTGGGAAGATTGCAGATACTTTGTGAGGGATTGCAAATCTGTGTCACTATACATAATCTGGATGAATTGCTAAATGGAAAACCAATTTACTCTATAAACTTTCATCCAAATCCCAAGGAAAATTTAAAAACAGAAAAAGACCATATTCTCTAAGTAGCTTACAAATCTTATTCCAGATATTTGTAAATCTATAAGGAGTCCTGGTATGGAGCTGTGGGATAAAGCATTGGACAAGATCGGTTTGAACCACAGTTGGGCGGGTCAAACTCACCAGCTGCTCCTTGGAAATCCTGTACAGGGTCACTATGAGTTGGAGGAGTCCTGGTGTGGCGCTGTGGGTTAATGTGCTAGACTACAAAGCCATTTGAACTGCAAGGTCAGCAGTTCAAACTTACCAGCTGCTCCTCGGAAACCCTATACAGGGTCGCTATGGGTCGGAACCGACTTGATGGCACTTAACAACAACAATATGAGTTGGAATCAACTCAGCAGAACTTAACAACAATAACATAAATCTATAAAATGTTGACAGCCACTCCGCAGGGACCTTTAATTAATGAGTGACTGCATTTATGGACCTGCTGATTAACACTCGTTTAAACACCAGAAACTGCATTTATAATTCTAATTTCCTTTTTCTCAAATACTAGTTGATCTGACTGACCATTAATCTTTCACATACTTTTAAGTAATGCCCAGAATTCTGGTAAATGTAAAATACAGTGAGGATTAAATAGTTCAACACTCCATACAAATTCAGTAAGATTTCCATATAAAACCACAAGTTTAAATCCATTATTCAATTAGCTATTTTAAATTATAACTACAAGCCTAATCTGTTACTTGAAAAGGCCAAATTCTTTTAAGTATTACAAATATTTAAAATTCCAAACACACATAATTTCAACATAATAAAACACCAATGTGGGTTTCATTTTCTTACCTATATGTCCATGTGTGATTCTAAATCTTTCTGGGGTTAAAGGAGACTTTTCCACTAAGGAAACTATTACCTCATCCAATGATTTTGAGATTACCTTCCCAAGCAAATTTTGAGATACCTTCTTAACCAGGTACAAAAATGGCTTGGAGGCCATGTCTGGCTTCCTCTGGCTTCACAAGGGAGGAGAATCAAACTCAAAATGAGTCCAAGGCCGATTCCTATGAGGCAGAGGCATGCCTCTTCCCTACAACCATCTTTGCCCTCTTCTGACACCAACTATCCCTCCCTACAGCACTCTCTGCTTCACATCTGGGTTCTATAATCCATTGCAGTGGCCACACAGAGCTCATAGACAATACTCACAATTATGGGGTTTATTAAGGAAGTGAGCAGTGTACAATTCAGAATCAGAAATAACTCAGGACGCAACAGACTTCCAGTCAGGAGCATCTCCTTCTGCTGTACTAAAGGCACGCCTTGCTCTTGTGTTCGGCTTCTCAGCCGTGTGGCCCACGGGACTCTTCCCTGCTCAGGCAAGTTTTACGAAACTTCTTCACCAATCTATCAATGCCCAAAGGGCACATTTTAGAAGCCAGCCTCCTGCCTGTAGGCACTCAGCTTTACTTGGTCTATGGGCCAGGAAGCCAACAGCTCTGCTGTCTCCCCATACTGCTGCCTCTGCTGCCATTTCTGCTGCTGCCGCTTTTCTAAGCAAGAATCTCATGCTCTGCTCACAGCTCTTCTTTCTTGATGGTCCTGAAATAATCTGTTCCTGATTCTGAGATAGCTCCTTTTAAACCTAACAGGATGGAAAAACTAGCCAATTCCAGCAGCATTAGAGTCCTGTGCACCCTATTTGTATGGTTCGATCCAATCATTTGGTGAGAGTTAAGACAATTTTGGATAGAAAAGCCATACACCAAGTAAATTCACAGCACTACTGGGTAAGGCTGAGGGACAACCTGGGATACAATTGGCAAATGAGGTCAAGAGCTGAAGACAGACAGGGCCATTTTTCTTAGATTCTTTACCTACAGGCTAAGCACTTCTGACCAAACCCAATAGCATGAACTTTAACTGTCAAGAAGGGGTGAACCCAGCCAAGTCCAGGCCCAGCCTGAGTCTGAGCTCCATCCTCTCAAAGAAGCCTCGAAACCCTGCTTAGGGAAATTACAGTACTGGACTACATCCTGTACTTGATTTTGTTTTTTAAATGATGTGTTTTACTGTCTAGCTTTAAGGATCACAGGGCTCGTTGGAATTTTGCATTCTTTTTGTATTTGGGTAGGATGCTGTAGGATAGGTACTGGACTGCAAGATCAGTTTGGTGATAGGTTCACACTCACCAGCAGCTCTTTGGAAATCCTACACAGGGTGGCTATGAGTCGGAACTGACTTGACTGCACTTAACAACAATTTATATACAATCCAATGGCCACTTAATTGGATTCTGAGTTGCTCCAACTTTGTCTGATTCTTAGTTACCTCACACAAGAAGGCCGTTCCCATGACACAAACCTCACCCTCCTGTTGGGAATTGGAAAGCTTACCTTCAATCTTAGTCTTGAAGTGAGGATACCTGTTGAGAATCTCCACCTGCTTCTTCCAATCAAATTCATTCCTCCAATAGGAGATGACTTTCTTCAGATAGTTGGAGTTGAAACCATAGTGGAAACAGCTGTCCTCCAAAGGCCGGCTTAAGCGGGTCTTATCAATCCTCCAGTGTAAGTCCTGAAGGAGTGGAGCAAAGCACAAGAGCACGTGGGTTTTCGGGAAGACAGTGCAAACCATGCAATGCTAAAGTAGTGGGCAAGGATGAAGGCTGGCAGGTCTGTATTCGGCTGGTCTCAGGGCCGGTCAGGGTTATCTCAGAAGATGTCTCCTTGTTTCCCACAACAGTGACTTTTCCCAAAATATGAGGTGTTCTTCATTTTCAACTTCAGGTTTACTTCTCAATTTTCATTTTTTAAATATATGAACAACACACTTAGGTAAATTTAAAGATGAGCATATGCAGCAAGAAGTCCTGGTGTGGCGATGTGGGTTCATGCACCAAACTGTAAAGTCACTTTGAACCGTAAGGTCAGCGGTTCAAGCTCACCAGTCACTCCTTGGAAACCCTACACAGGGTCACAACGGCACTTCACAAAAACAATAGCATATACAGCAAGGAGTCCCTGGGTAGTGTAATTGGTTAATGTGCTCAGCTGCTGACTGGAAGGTTGAAGGTTTGACTCTAGCCAGAGGCACTTTGGAAGAAAGATCTGATGATTTACTTCCAAAAAAGCAGCCACTGAAAACTCTGTAGAGAAATATGTAGCAGTCTGCTTCTGTAAAGATTACAACCTTGGTGGTCCTACAAGGTAAAGGTAGCGAGGAATCAAATCAGTGGCAGCAGATCTGGTTTGGGTTTAGTTGGGCTTATGTGCTATTTGAGAAGGAGCTCTCTCTTCTTTCAAGCACCAAGCAGAGTGCCTGCTCACAAGAAGTGCCCAAATACCCACAGAATACAGAAAGAGTGGGTTAGGGACACTCAAGGTCCCACTCATCCTCTTGTGCTGCTCAAGTCGAGCTCTCTGGTCACCCCACCCTACTGACCACTGGCCTCCTGACTCCAGCCCTGTGCAGTGGAGAGGCCAGCAACTCTGGAGTGAAACCAGCCTCAGCTCAAATCATTCTGCTTATTCACTTGGTCACTTTGGACAAAGTGCTTTTATGTCTCTGAGCTTCAGTTTCTGCCTGTGTACAAAAGGTACAATAGTTCTCACCCTACAGGATTACCATAGAGACTGAATGTGATAGCAATGGCTTGGACACACAGTAAATGTCTTCTCAGTGCCACCGCCTTTATGCCGGTCAGGATCCTGATCACTTTCTCTCCTAAGCTCACCCTCAAGGTTTCTGCTGCGAAGCAAAAGAGGTGAAACAATTGCTTTCTTTGATGCACTTAATTGTATTTATCTGGCACCCACTCTCCTGCTTGGGCACCGGAGGGGCTTTAGGGGAAAAAAGGAGATGCAGAGCAGGGAAGGAGGAGGACCGGAGTACGTAAACCAGGTGACTGTCTGGAGAACCTGTGCCTGCTCAAAGGAAAGAGTAGACATACTAAAGAGAGGGGCCTCTTCCTGAGACCCCAGGCCCACCCCATCTCAGAGAAACCACAGAACTGCTCAGAAAAAAGGTGCCTTACGTCGATTTCCTCATCCGAGGTTTCCACCTTGAAGGGGCGGATGCTCTCGTCCTCCCCAGTGGTGGGTGTCGTTCCTGGCCCCCACCACCCATATTCAATGGGCAAGGTTTCTTCCTTGTCCCGGGAGACAAACCAATAGATGACAACGCCCAGCACCAAGGCAAGGAAGATTTCCAGCCACATGACTCCTGCAAGAGAGGGGAGATTCCATCAACAGAGACCACTGGGACCACCCCTGGAACCAGAGACACCAAACTCCCATGAACTCCCACCCAACCACTGATCTTATGTATTTCTTAACTAAAAAATTATAAGCATAATACAGAAACATTGGGGAATGAAAGAGAAATCATCCAAAACCCTACTCTTGCTAAGTGTTGTAAGTTGGTTCCAAGTAACCCTGTATAGGGTCTCTGAGGAGTGGCTGGTTGTGGTTAACAGTTCAAGGCTTATCCTACCACACACAACCAGGACCCCATAACCCTACTAAGCTGCACAATTATTTGAACTGGAAAATATGAGTTGAGGTTGGCCTCTGACGGTTTTTAGTATCACACCTTCCTGTCTGCAACCTCATGTATCTATGAGGGACTTCTGCTCCATACATGTGTGAGAGTCTCTCAATGCCCTAGCCCCATGGGAGGAGGGGTGGGCTCCGGAGAAGAATGCAGCTCCTGTGGTTCAGCTCCCTGCTTTATCCCTCTTTGAGAGGGGCTGGTCCACAGGACACCTAAGGGCAAGGAGAAGTCTGAGTACTACACAGTTAGGTCCGGAACCTGTCACCACTCACATCTCCGCTGTGTGTTGATGCTCATTTGTCTGAATCCATCTTTTTTTCTCAGAAAGAGAAAGGAGGTGAAACCCAATACCTGGCAGATCCTGCCCAACATTGTTCTCTAGCTTCTCATCTTCCGCATTCCCAGGGAAGTAACCGCAGAGGACAAGTCAGAGGTTAGAAGGCGTGGTGCAGGTCACAGCGCAGTTAGGATGCAGTGGGGGAGAAAACGCTGGGTCTGACAGCTCCTGACCACATCCACCCCAGCACCCCCACTACTGAGTCTGTCTTGGAGGCCCTGGCCCTGCTGGGGAACCTGTGTGCTTTCAAGTCTCTGCACAGTCTATGTGACACATGTTAGATGTCCAGGACCCTCCCCTGGACCATCGCCTCACACTATTATGACCGAGACAGCTTACCAGAAAGGCAACCTCCAACTCCATGACTCAGGCCACCAGTTCATGTCTTAGAACGACTACTGCATTCTGGACATTCAGGGTGAAGAGTAAGTTTACCTCCTTCTGGGCTATAAAACTCAAAAGCGACTTAAGGTTTAACTTTGCTTACTGCCTGCAAGTCTACATGCGCCCAACTGGGAAGCAGTATGTGGTATTCTGACGCCTGCTCTGCTCCCAGCCGGAAGGCAGACACAGCTTTTCTCTTTTAAGCCCAAGTCTGACCCCAGGTGTCTTACATATGCCTACTGAATGGCTGTGTGGCTGATGTAAGCACTCCTACAATTGAAACAAGGTAAGGGATAGCTAAGGAGATCTGGTGGTGATGGTGGTGGTTGTTAAAATGCCATCGATCAGTTCCGACCCATAGCAACCCTATATAGGGTTTCTGAATAGCAACAGATGAGCTTGAACCACCGACCCTGCAGTTCAAACTGACTTTGCAGTCCAACGCATTAACACATAGTACCACACCAGGACTCCTGAACAGTGGTTAAAACAGCTGCTAACTTAAAAGTCTGCATTTCAAACTCACTAGCCACTGTGGGAGGAAGATTGAGAAGCAGTGGAGGACACAGGCCCCCAACAGCAGGAGCATCAATCTGGGCAGGACTGTGTCTGACCTGGTCAGTACCCCACTACACTTACCCAAGCAAGATGCTCAGTCAATATTTGTGCAAACAGCGTGTATGTGGTGGAAGCAAACAGTCCCGGTTTGGCATGATGTTCTATAAAGGGAGCTTCAAGCATACTGAAAGAGAGGTCAAGCAAATCCAAAGTTCCCAAGAGAACTTGACAAACTGGTCTCTTAACCTGACTTCAACAGCAAGGGACTAAGAGCTAACTTGTCACTGCCCTTTGGAAAATAAACAGCCAACTTTTCCTTTTCTGGGCCGACGGATCCAGTGCTCTAACCCTTTGATGTCTCCTTGGGAAGTGGGGTAAGCAGTTCTGCACACCGCCACACTCGGAGTCTATAGAGGGCCTGCCCCATCCCCACTATTGCCTCACTGAGACCAAGTGTCCCATCCACCTCTGACTCAGCAGATTTGATGTATTATCTCCCTGGACTTCAAACAGCAAACTGAATTGCATTGGCCCAGAGTCAAAATGCTGCAATGATCAGTGCTCAAGAGCCCATCTCAGTGAATGGGCAAGGTTCAAAGCAAGGGCTGGATACAAACCAAAGCAAAGTAACAGTCTAAACAAGAAATTTAAAAACCCATTATCTGCCCTGTAAGATATTAAGAATATAAAAACTTGGCTCAAAGACAGGACTTCAGAGCCATCTCAGATTACTGAGTAGGCTTTGTTGCAGGTGTGTTAACATACAATCCAGTTACTGCCCTCTATTTAGTGTTATTGTTACCAGTTGCCATGAAGTAGGCTCCAATGAAACAGTGCCTGGTTCTGCGCCATCTTCACAATGGTTGCTAAGTTTGAATCCAATGTTGCAATCACAGTGTGTATTTTGAGCAGCTTCCAACTAAGGAGACTTGGAGCACAACGTCAACAATATTCTGTTGTCATCAATATGGTTTTCATTGGCTAATTTTCAGAAGCAAACTGCCTGGCCTTTCTTAGTCTAGACGCTCCACTGAAAGCTGTCCACCATGGATGATCCTGCTGGGCGCTAAAATACCAGCGAGTTTCCAGCATCACTGCAACATGCATGCCACCATAGTAGGACAAACTGACACATGGGTGGGTTGGCTTAATAGTGGGTGTAAGTGTGCACAAGGTGCTCTAGATTAGCCATGTACCAGGTGTTGACTGTCTGTAGGTAGGCTTTCAGAGATAGGATAAAGCAAGATAGATGCAAAGCCACACACCAAAGAGCCAAAATTCATCAAAACTGACTGTCCTTTTTACTTATTTCAGGCAAGGATCAGAGCAGGTAAAGGCCTTGCCCTAAACTTGTGGCAAGTATAAACATTAGAATTTGAAAATTAATTTCCCATCTGTCTTTTGGTGTTGCAGAATCCTGCCCCGATCTCATTTCCCATCAACATCTCTTCTCAGTCCCCATCATCAGACCTGTTCTCTGGGACCTCCCAAAACACAGAGCACACAGAGCAATAACTATTCAGGGCTACAGCCTTCTGCCTCAGCATGTCTCCTAGGCCTGCAACTCTTTCCTCCCCAAAATATTGAAATAACAATAAACAAAAAGTCCCCCCTTCCTGGGCACAAGAGGAGCTGAGCTTCAATGGAGGAGAAGGTGGGTCAAGGAGCTCAGGGCTTTGCTTTTGCCTGGGAAGACGGAGGGCCTGGAGATGGAACAATCAGCGTTCAAGCTCCACTCAACCTTCTGCTTAACTCAGCCACACACTCCTCATCTGTAACTTCTTAAGCTAGTTACCATGGAGTTAACCTTGGCTCATGGTGGCCCCAAGTGGGTCAATTGACCTGCACTGCACAGGGTTTTCAGTGGCTGAGCTTTCAGAAAGGCCAGGTCTTTTTTCCCTCCTCATCTGTAAGCTATGATAACTACTGCCCCAAGGCTGAGGGCATGGAAGAAGAACTGGGAAGTGCCAGGCCCACAGCAGGCTGGTGCCTGTTGTGCCAACCTGTCCTCAGGTCCGAGCCCCTCTCCAGTGCTGCTGTTTATTTGGGATATGAGAAAAAAGAAGGTTTGAGGTTCAATAACAAGGGCCTTGATCTGTCTGCCCAGCTCCCTGGATCAAACGGTCTTCCTATTCTTCCCCAGGATGGCTCTTTGGGTTGGGCCAGTGGAGGCAAAACCCACAGTAGGAGGCTAGGGATAGGGATTGTTTACTGGGAACAAGTCCTCCTAGTAGCAATGGGCACAGGTCTGGAGGGGGAGGCACTGGGTAGCTGACAGATCCAGTCCTTCCCAGGCCTCTCTTACTGGAAGAACAGGGTTACAACAGCCCCCCTCCACAGAGCTGATGAATTGATCAGAAGCCTCAAAGCCAACCCCCTCACTTCGGGAAACTGAGGCAGTGGAGGATGTAATTTGTCCCAGGTCAGGTGGTCAAGGACTGCACCCCAGGGATAAAGGGGAAGTCCCTGGGCTCCAGGCTAGCTATGATAACTGCTCTAGGGCAGGTTCTTCACCTTCAGGCACTACAGATATTTTGGAGCAAATAGTGTTTTGTTGTGGGGCTGTCCTGTGCATTGCAGGGTATTTAGCAGCATCTCTGGCCTCTACCCACTAGATACCAGTGGCGTGTCCCTCCAAGTCCCCCCCCACCCCAACTCCCCTCATACCCACTAGTTTGTGACAACCAAAAATTAGTCAAATGTCTCCTGAAGACCCAAACCACCCTAAATTGAGAATTAACTGCTCTAGGCCAGTGGTCTGACTTTCAGATATGTTAGAATCACCTGGGGGAAGTGATTAAACTCAGAGCTTCTGATTCAGTCATTCAGAGGAGGGGAGAGAACTTGCATTTCTAACAAGTACACAGGTGTTGCGGCTGCTGTTGCTGATCCAGGGACAACTCTTTAAGAACCCAGCTCTAGACTAAAGCACAGGCTGTATGCTGGGCTCTCTCTCTTGCTCCTGAGATGGGCGGGCCCCAGCTGAAGCTAAATGAGCTTCTGCAGACTCAGAAGAAAAGCAAAGAGGACACCTTCTCCACTTACACAGTGCTTACACTGGTGAGCGGGTCCCCTGCAGGAAGCAGGACACACAAGCTACTCTATGGGAGTGGTGGGCCCCATGCCTCTGGATCAGTGGTGTCCAGGGCTCCCTCAGAAAGTTGAAGGAAATGCTACAGCTCTGGGGGTGCCTCCTGCTCCCACCCCAATCAGACCTGTAAAAGGCTTGGCAGCTCAACTCTCAATTTTAGCCAACTCTTTGTTTTCATAAGAGAGGCATCTAGAGAAATTCTTTAACTTGCTCATCTTGCCAGCTTGCCCTGCAAGCTGAATGCTTAGCTGGACAGAAGGCACTCCACACTGGAGCCTGAAGCCACACTGGATGG